TCACAGTTACAGTTACAGCCGGCCTCCCCACTGCCCGCTCCTTCTCCCTACACTGGTCCTACTGGAGGTCTTGCCGAGCGTCGTGAGCCTGCGTCGCGTCCTGCGTCGCCTGTCCGTACTACTCGCGCTAGTGGTCGTGGTTCGCGTCAGCGTCCTCCTCCTGTCCCTGGCACGCACCGGATGTCTCTGCGTCCGTCCACTGCTCCTCTGCGTGCCCCTTTGCCTTCTCCTCCTGAGTCCTCTCTTCCTGCTCTTCCCGACCCGAAGTCGGACTCTCTTCGTGCTGCCAGTCCTACTGTCACGCGTCTCCTTGCTACTGTCGTCACTGACCCTTCCTTTGCGTCCACTGCTGCGTCTGCCCTAGTTGCTGAGCTCGTCGACTTTGCTGCTCGCTGTCGTCTAGACTACGCTGCTTGTCTTGTCGCTGAGTCTGAGTCTGTCTGTCCTCCGTCCGTCGGGGGTGAGTGTGCCCTTGGCACGGACGTCCTTGAGGACAGGCAGGAGGAGTTCCAGTGTTTGGCTGCTGCTTCACCTCATCTCGTGTCCGTACTGCTTACCCCTGAGGGAGACCCGGATGCACTTGACATCCCGACTCCGCGCTCTTACGCGGAGGCGATAGAGGGTCCCTACTCCTCTCAGTGGCAGGCAGCTATGGACACAGAGATGGCTTCCTGGAAGTCCACAGGCACCTACGTTGACGAGGTTCCCCCGCCTGGGGCGAACATCGTCAGTGGCATGTGGATTTTCAGGGTGAAGCGGCCGCCGGGTTCTCCGCCTGTCTTCAAGGCGCGTTACGTGGCTCGTGGCTTCAGTCAGCGGCAGGGAGTTGACTACTTTCAGACCTTCTCTCCCACCCCGAAGATGACCACTCTTCGGGTACTGCTGCACATAGCTGCTCACCGCGACTACGAGCTGCACTCTCTTGACTTCAGCACTGCTTTCTTGCAGGGCAGCCTGCACGAGGAGATCTGGCTGCGTCGCCCACCTGGCTTCACTGGGTCTTTTCCTCCTGGCACCCAGTGGAGCCTCCGGCGGCCAGTCTACGGTCTCCGCCAGGCACCGCGTGAGTGGCACGACACACTGAGGACTACACTTGCGGCTCTTGGGTTTGCTCCCTCTACTGCCGACCCGTCGCTGTTTCTGCGCACCGACACTTCTTTGCCGCCGTTCTACATCCTCGTGTACGTCGACGACTTGGTCTTTGCCACAGCTGACACTGCTGGACTCGCCCACGTGAAGTCCGAGCTGCAGAAGAGACACACGTGCACAGACCTGGGTGAACTGCGCAGCTACCTTGGCTTGCAGATCACCCGGGACAGAGCACGCCGCACCATTACCCTGACTCAGTCACACATGGTGCAGCAGGTCCTTCAGCGCTTCGGCTTCACGTACTCCTCGCCTCAGGCCACTCCTCTGCCTACTCGCCACTCGCTCTCAGCTCTGCCTTCGGATGAGTCCGTAGAGTCGAGTGGCCCGTACCCAGAGCTTGTTGGCTGCCTCATGTACCTGATGACCTGCACACGACCTGACCTTGCATACCCTCTTAGCATTCTCGCACGCTATGTTGCTCCTGGGAGACACAGACCGGAGCACATGGCTGCAGCAAAGAGGGTGTTGCGCTACTTGTGCAGTACGTCGGGCATGGGGCTTGTGCTTGGAGGGCAGAGTCCAGTGGTCCTCACCGGGCACGCAGACGCTTCTTGGGCTGACGACCAGGCTACGCAGCGGTCGTCACAGGGTTACACCTTCAGCCTTGGTTCCGGCTCTGTTTCGTGGCGGGCTACCCGCTCGTCTTCTGTTCTTGGCTCCAGTTGTGAGGCTGAGATCTACGCCGGGGCCATGGCTGCACAGGAGCTTCGCTGGCTCACCTACCTGCTGACTGACCTCGGAGAGCCGCCTCGTTCTCCTCCAGTGCTGTACGTAGACAACAAGGCCATGCTGGCCTTGTGTAGAGAGCAGAGACTGGAGCACAGAACGAAGCACATTGCTCTCCGCTACTTCCTTGCTCGTGAGCTACAGCAGCGTGGTCAGCTGCGGCTTGCGTACGTGGCCTCTCAGGCCAACACTACTGATATCTTCACCAAGGCACTTGCGCCTTGTGATCATCAGCGTTTCTGTACTCAGCTGGGCCTTGTGCCCACCTTGCCTCACTTGCTCACCCCTTGACCTTGTTTGTACTGTTGCATATATATATATACACCTGCTCTTGCTTGTCTAGCCTTATATATATATGTAATCCTGCATGTGAACTGGCCTTGTGGCCTTGAACTTGTGCTCGGAATGTGTGGTGACTTTGTGATCCACCCTGAGCTTGCTTTGCTTTGCTTGATTGGTCTTGTGACCCCTTGTTCTCCCCCACTTTGCCTATGGGGGTGTGTCAGATTTATATGACAGAGCTACTGTAGGCTATAGTGGGGTAGCACATATGGGGTACAGTTTTCTAGGGTTTGCATTTTGTACCCAACTTTCCCTTAGTCATTCCCTTCCTCGTTTCTTCTCAAACGGCTGATATACGCCATCCCTTTTTCGCCGGGTTTCATTTCCATTGTTGTCAGCTGTGCCATGAGACAACTTTGATTAACACTGTCTGTTGCTTGATACGGGTTCTTCATGTGGTCGTATGCGAGCTCGGCGGAGTTGCCGTACCCTCGATAAGACTGGATGTTTTGCTGTTCGTTCGGAGTTATGTTTCGTAGAAGAATTGTATACGCCATCAGTGACTGATACGTGTACTGTTGCTTGTCGTACTGTGTCCCGTGTGTTGGGTATGGCAGGGATCCGTTGAAGAATTCGAGAATCTGCACGCCTTCCATCATTAACTCAAACTCGAATGACTAGGTATAAAAGTCCTTTCCGTCAAAGGGTGTCGATGTCTGCAATTTCAAAACGTGTGCGAACTGTGATTGAACCTGAAGCGCGTCCAGTGTCTTCTCTTGTCCAGGTGAAGGCTGTTGGTGTGGCGTGAGGCTGATGGAGCCACGTTGAGGTTCGTACGGGGCAAAGGTAGGTTGCTGCTGGTTTCCGTGCGCATAGGATGAACCGTCAAGGCTCATTGGAGTAACCCTATTGTTGTTGTCGCTGTTGTTTGATTGCGCAGGTGCTGCTTGCTGGTGCTGCTCGTAGAAGGACATGAAGGAGAAAAATTTCTCCATCATGCTTGGGTCAAGGCCTGCTGCCTGGTTAGCAGGAGTTTCAGTAGACTCAGCTGTTGGTCTTGTCGCTGTGCCTCCTTCCGTCTGTAGGCCAGAGGCTGGAGGTGGAGTAGATGTAGTGCCGGGGGAGCCGTTAGAAGAGCTTCTCTCCTTTTGTGTTGCCATATCTTCTGATGTTGTAGAAGATTAAAAAGAAGTTGGATCTTGCATTGTAGCTCTCATACCATGTTGGGCTGATAAAAGCCCTTACGATCTTTCCAAGGCTAAGACCCTGAGTAGGAATGTTGTAATTGCGGAAGCGTTATTCGTGAACTTGTTGAACCAACTTGCACTAGTGTGTGAGAGCAAGAGATTGATTATAGCAAGGTAATACAAAGGCTTTTATAAGATTACAAGGAATACAAAAAGGTGCAACTAACTGTTTTGCTGTTGCGGTACGACTCAGGCAACTGCTCAATACCGAGTCAGTTGTTTGTCCTTGCTATCGCGCTGTATTTCGTCGAGTCAAAGGTCGCTGACCTTTGACCTTCGCGTAACCTCCAGCAGTTACTTTCTGTCAACCTCCTTGGTTGACTCGCTGTTGCTCCGCTGTGATTCGCCTCGTTTGTAGTCTATTGTTTCGACACAACAGGAGCGTTAAATTGCTTGTTTCCAACAATACTGACATATTGATGCCCTTGCTGCCTATATTTCCTGCCAGGGCAGGTACAAGTCTAAGTAAGTCCCAACAGAAAGTATGTGGTTTGGGCGATGGTTGGTGCCAGGTGTTCGGAGCGCATTGCTCCTCCCACCCATATAGTATAAAAGATTATATATAAAACACCTGGAACACTATCTCAACCTCCTTCCCTCACACAAAGTAATAAAGAGTAGGGTATTACAAGCAATATGCTTTCAGCTATATCCCGTACAGCGTGTACGCGACATCAGTAGCGCCATGCCCACACCATACCTCGCCTCGCGCCATCACTCCACCCCAGCACACAGCCTCACCTCACCTCGAGTTCTGTTCTGTGCTGCCGTGCCGTGCCGTACATCCGTCTCAATGTGGTTGTTGGGGTCCAAACCAAGCACCTCCAAACCGAACCAAATCCGTACCAAAGATACACGTACCTTCCCAACCAGGCTGGTCCCAAACATACCCAACCACACCTAGAAGTTACATTTTTCTTTCAGCACCCACCCATGCTTTGACTCGCAGTGTCGTTACGTGTGCTTTGTCCTCTCCGTCTGCTTACCTTGGTCACGAGATGCTCAGCAAGGAGAAACTAAATTTAGTTTTCCAATTTAGATGCTCTCGTAGCTGCTTCGAGATCAGCATCGCGTTGTCCTGTGATGGTAGCTAGACCCGACTTGCAGGTAGGCGGTGTTTAATTGGTACTCCCTATGACTCGGCATTCTCGAGACGGTAACATCTCGAAAGCGAGTCTCCCGCTCGTCACTGCTGTACGTTTCGAGGCTGCAGCATCAGCATTGCCGAAAGCGTTTTTTTTTTTTTTTTTCTCAGCGTCCGTCCGTCGACGCTCCTGGTCGGACGGCTTGTCAGTTTGGGCAATGCGGAACTTAAAACCGGGGTCTCAATCTCTATTAAATTGCCTCGTCCAACCAGAGTATTTGACTCCGCGACCCGCGCCAATCAATTTCGACACTAGCCCGTTTCGCGAACCAATATAAGCACCTGCCCCAACCAAATTTCCTACCTTTGAAACCTATGGACCTCGGGTTTAATTCCCTAAGTTCGCCATGCGGTCGTTAATAACTAGTAGATTAAAGCCGAACGCAATGCGGCCTTAGTCGAGCTTTCTATCCAATTATTTATTATCTTAATACATAATAACGACATAAGCCATGAAGAAGCGGTCCGGGAAGCAGTCGGCGTCGTCGCTAGTGGCGATCCGGTTCGACTTTAAAGTGCATCTTATCGAGGTAAGTCACTGATTGCATTGCCGTCTGATTGCATTGCCCTCCTCTCCACGCAAAGGCTTACATTCCCTCGCTCCTCGTCTCATAATCGCCATTGTTCCGCCCTCCCTTCCACGCATACCTCCCCCCCTTTCTCCGCCCTCCCTTCCACGCATACCTCCCCCCCTTTCTCCGCCCCTTCCCCCACCCCCTTCCCCCCACAGCTGCGCCCATGGCTGCGGATGGGCGCGCCGGCAATCATTCAGTGGCAGCGCGGGGACAAGCGCACGGGCTTTTCCAAGCCGGTGCGCGCGCAGCGCGACGAGGGCGGCGCGGACGAGAACGCGTTTAAAGTGGTCATCGACCAGACATTCCGGGTGAGTGCCTCGCGTCACTCGCATTTGGACTAGGCTGACTTGCTGATACTAGCCTAATAGTGCAACTACCACTCATCTCTCCTCCACTCCCCCTCGTCCCCCCCGTCCCCCCCTCTCCCCGCCTCCCCTCCCCCCCGCGCGTAACTCTGCAGGTCCCCGCCACTCTGTACCGCGAGCGCGGCGGCCCCGGCGCGCCGTACCAGCGCAAGACGGCGGCGTTTTCGATCCACGAGGCGCAGGCGGACGACTCGGCGCAGCCCAAACCAACAGCGCTGGGGAAGGCGTCGCTCGACCTCTCCGCCTTCGCGGACTGCGCCGGCGTGCTCCCCCACGCGCTCCCCGTGCAAGTCTCCAAGTCTCTAGGCGCAGCGCTGGGCCGCCCCGAGCTACACCTGACGGTGGAGTGCGTGGGGAAGAAGCTGAGTAAAGAAGCCGCCGCGGAGGAGGCGGGCGCGGGGGGGTATGGCGCGGGGGGCGCGGGCGCGCTGCCGCGGTTCTACCCGACGAAGCTGGAGCCGCTAGAGGACGCGGAGGACACGGCGGGATCGTCGGGGGACGAGACCTGCTACTCGGACGCCGCTGGGTCCGTGACTGGCGGCGGGGGGAGCCGCCTCGGCCCGCTCTCCGACCATGGGGGGAGCGATTCGGAGCACATGGGCGCAGGCGGTGCGCACGGGACGCACGGCGCGCATGGGGGGCACGGGGGGAAAGGGTCAGGGAGGGAGCATACGCGGAAGGACAGTGGGGCGTCGTCAGGGGGGCATGAGAATCAGAGCAGCGACACGGAGATGGTCAGACGGGGGAGTGGCCCGAGGAGAGGGCATGCGGGAGGAAACGAGGACCAAGGCAGCTCCACGCCAGGCTCGGCAGCAGGCTCGGCGGCAGGTTCGGCAAGTGGTTCGCCAAAGCGAGCGGGAGAGGGGAGTAGGACTTTGAAGGGCGCGCCAGGGAGCGCGAGAGAGGGGAGAGGGGCGGGCAGGAGCGAGAAAGGGAGGGGGAGAGATCGCAGGCGGTTTTCAGGGGGGGAGATGGACCTTAGCCTCGCGTTCCAGGCGTCAGCGGGGGGAGCCAGAGCGCAGGGCGCGGGGGGCGGGGGATTGCCGCCGGTGGGCGGGGTAGGCGCGGGGGAAGCGGGGTTGGGGGGTCTCATGGCTTCCCTGCCGGTTGGCGGGGGCGTGGATGGGGCAATGGATGACGCATGGGCGCAGAATGCGTGGGAGGAGGGGGAAGAGGGGGAGGATGGTCGAGGGGAAGGTTTGGAGGAGGGGGAGGACGAGGGGGGGCATGATGGGTTTGGGGAAGAGGAGGGGGAAGCGGAGATTGAAGGAGGGTCGTTCGAAGATCTGAATGACGCTTTTGGTAACATGGATGGTGGTAACATGGGCGGTGGGGGAAAGGGCAGGGGTGGTGGAGGAGAGGCAGCAGACATGCATGACGTGTATTCACATGATATTTACGTGCATGACCCACAGGGCACCCATGGTGATGATGGGGATGATGGTGGCTTGGAGGACATGTATGGGCATCACGACATGCATGATATGTACGGGCACCATGGCATAGGGAGAGGCATGGGGATGGGGATGGGAAGGGAGGAGCAGGAGGAGGAGGAGGTGAGGGAGGAGGAATTGGAGGACCTGTCTCTGGCATACGAGAGGGGCGGGCCGGGGCAGCTGCATGGGGGTGGCATGGGGCTGGACGGAGGGATGGGGACAAGGAAAGGCGGGCGACAGCAGCAGCAGCAGCAGCAGCAGGGAGACGGGGAGGATTATTGGGGCGAGGAGCAGGAGGGGGAGCAGGGGGGGATGCAAGAGGGGTATGGGCATGGGCGGGGGTATCCAGGGGGCGAGGGCTACGGGCAGGGAGAAGAGGACTATGGGGACGGGGGATATGAGGAAGGGGAAAATGGGGAGGAAGGGGGATATGGGCAAGGGCATGGGCAAGGGCAAGGGCAAGGGCAAGGGCATGAGCATGGACATGGGCAAGGGAAGAAGAGGCAGGGGCGAGGGGGGTATGATGATGCAGAGGGGGAGTATGTGCAAGTGGATGAAAGGGAGGGTGAGGAGGGGGAGGGGGAATACATGCAAGATGGTGATGGAGGTGATGGGTATAATGATGGCACCGGCATGAACGGGGGTGAGGGGGAGTATGACGAGGCGTTTGGGTTCGAGCAGAGGCAGGGCAGCTATGGCCGTGCGACCGACAGGTACGGGGACCAGCAAGCGGGGTATGAGGATGGGTACGCAGAGGAAGCGTATGGGGACGGGTATGTGGAGCATGGCAATGAGCGCGCCGGGGGGGAGGAGGAGCAGGACGAGCAGCAGCAGGCGGAGGAGGAACAAGAGGAGGAGGAGGAGGAGGACGAGGAAGAATTCGAGACGCTGCCTCCCCCCCCACCAAAATCCCCCAGGTTCCGGCAGCGGTCGCTAGACGGTAAAGACCCCGCTGGTGCTGGTGCTGGTGGTGGCATGAGTCCATTCGGTGATGGCCTGCTGTATGGTCTCACATCGCCCTCCAGCCCTGCAGGCGACCTCTTCCCCGTCAACCTCAAGAAGCCCATGCCCTACGTGGGGGGAGCTCTGGGCATCGATGCGGTTACCGCGTCGCCGCCCAGAGCAGCCAGCAGCGGCGGTGCTGGGGGGAGTGGGTCCGAGTCCGGTAGTACTGGGGGCGGCGGGGGCGGGAGCGGGGGACGGGGAGGTCCGGGGGTGCTGGGTCAGTCTAAGAGCATGAAGGTAGTGGGGGAGCGGGCAGGGGAGAGAGAAGAGGAGCGGGGAGGAGGGGACGCGTCGAGTTTGGAGTTTGAGTGGCGGAAGGTGCGGACAGAGAAGAAGCTAGTAGAGGAGGAGAAGCGAGCTCTGCAGACCCTGGGGGACGAGGTGCAGCGGCTGAGAGTGTGGGCTGAGAACGAGCGTGCGCGGCTCAAGAAGGAGCACACACAGATTGAGATGGATAAGAAGCGGTGCAGTGAGTTGGAGAGCCAGATGGCGGAGTTTTCCGCGTGGTCAGAGGCGGAGGAGGAGAGGATACGGAGGGAGAGGGAGGAAGCGGAGCAGATGAAAGGGGCGGCGGAGGCAGCAGAGAGGAGGGTGAGGGAGGAGAGGGAGCGGTTTGAGTGGGAGCAGCAGCGAGTGGCAGAGGAGAAAACGCACCTCGACGAAGCTGCTGCTTCGGTCGCCGAGGCTCTGGCTCGGGCTGCTGAGGCTGAGGAGAGGGCGAGGAGCGCAGAGCGGAATTTCGGGCGGCTGCCCGGGGATTTGAGAGACGCAGCAATGGCTGATGTGGCAGTGTATGCAGTACGGCCAGAACACGGGGGATCCGTGCGACGAGTTCACACTCCCGCGAGGCGAATAGCGAGGGCTTATGCATTCGTGCGGGTTCACGAGGGGGATGAGAGAGTAGGGGGCGTGGCGAGAGTCGCCGTGACGGCACTTACTCTCGTCTCCAAGTCTGCAGCTGATGATGCTGCTAGGCTGCTGTTCTGGTGGTCCAATACTGTGATGCTCCGAGAGGCCATAGCCAGCATTGCTCCCACTGAAGCCCACTCTGATGAGCCCCACTCTGCCAATTCCTCCTCCTCCTCCTTCCCCCTCTCCGACCGAACCTCTTCTGGTTCCGAACCGGATTCCGAACCTGGTGGAGGTTCTGGGCCTGGGAAAAGGGGTGGGAGAGGAGGGAAGGGGGGAGGAGGAGGGGCAGGGGAAGGGGCGGGTGGGGGGGGGAGGGGGGCGGGAGTCGTGGGGGAGTCCGGGGGCGGTGGTGGCGGCGCTGAGGCGGCTGGAGGAGTGGCAGCATGAGCGGTGCTTGCAGCTGGTGTGGCGCAAGGTGAGGCAAGGAGAAGGGGGGGAGCAGGTGAGGTAAATCAATGACTATTGAGTGGCAGCATGAGCGGTGCTTGCAGCTGGTGTGGCGCAAGGTGAGGCAAGGAGAAGGGGGGGAGCAGGTGAGGTAAATCAATGACTATTGAGTGGCAGCATGAGCGGTGCTTGCAGCTGGTGTGGCGCAAGGTGAGGCAAGGAGAAGGGGGGGAGCAGGTGAGGTAAATCAATGACTATTGAGTGGCAGCATGAGCGGTGCTTGCAGCTGGTGTGGCGCAAGGTGAGGCAAGGAGAAGGGGGGGAGCAGGTGAGGTAAATCAATGACTATTGAGTGGCAGCATGAGCGGTGCTTGCAGCTGGTGTGGCGCAAGGTGAGGCAAGGAGAAGGGGGGGAGCAGGTGAGGTAAATCAATGACTATTGAGTGGCAGCATGAGCGGTGCTTGCAGCTGGTGTGGCGCAAGGTGAGGCAAGGAGAAGGGGGGGAGCAGGTGAGGTAAATCAATGACTATTGAGTGGCAGCATGAGCGGTGCTTGCAGCTGGTGTGGCGCAAGGTGAGGCAAGGAGAAGGGGGGGAGCAGGTGAGGTAAATCAATGACTATTGAGTGGCAGCATGAGCGGTGCTTGCAGCTGGTGTGGCGCAAGGTGAGGCAAGGAGAAGGGGGGGAGCAGGTGAGGTAAATCAATGACTATTGAGTGGCAGCATGAGCGGTGCTTGCAGCTGGTGTGGCGCAAGGTGAGGCAAGGAGAAGGGGGGGAGCAGGTGAGGTAAATCAATGACTATTGAGTGGCAGCATGAGCGGTGCTTGCAGCTGGTGTGGCGCAAGGTGAGGCAAGGAGAAGGGGGGGAGCAGGTGAGGTAAATCAATGACTATTGAGTGGCAGCATGAGCGGTGCTTGCAGCTGGTGTGGCGCAAGGTGAGGCAAGGAGAAGGGGGGGAGCAGGTGAGGTAAATCAATGACTATTGAGTGGCAGCATGAGCGGTGCTTGCAGCTGGTGTGGCGCAAGGTGAGGCAAGGAGAAGGGGGGGAGCAGGTGAGGTAAATCAATGACTATTGAGTGGCAGCATGAGCGGTGCTTGCAGCTGGTGTGGCGCAAGGTGAGGCAAGGAGAAGGGGGGGAGCAGGTGAGGTAAATCAATGACTATTGAGTGGCAGCATGAGCGGTGCTTGCAGCTGGTGTGGCGCAAGGTGAGGCAAGGAGAAGGGGGGGAGCAGGTGAGGTAAATCAATGACTATTGAGTGGCAGCATGAGCGGTGCTTGCAGCTGGTGTGGCGCAAGGTGAGGCAAGGAGAAGGGGGGGAGCAGGTGAGGTAAATCAATGACTATTGAGTGGCAGCATGAGCGGTGCTTGCAGCTGGTGTGGCGCAAGGTGAGGCAAGGAGAAGGGGGGGAGCAGGTGAGGTAAATCAATGACTATTGAGTGGCAGCATGAGCGGTGCTTGCAGCTGGTGTGGCGCAAGGTGAGGCAAGGAGAAGGGGGGGAGCAGGTGAGGTAAATCAATGACTATTGAGTGGCAGCATGAGCGGTGCTTGCAGCTGGTGTGGCGCAAGGTGAGGCAAGGAGAAGGGGGGGAGCAGGTGAGGTAAATCAATGACTATTGAGTGGCAGCATGAGCGGTGCTTGCAGCTGGTGTGGCGCAAGGTGAGGCAAGGAGAAGGGGGGGAGCAGGTGAGGTAAATCAATGACTATTGAGTGGCAGCATGAGCGGTGCTTGCAGCTGGTGTGGCGCAAGGTGAGGCAAGGAGAAGGGGGGGAGCAGGTGAGGTAAATCAATGACTATTGAGTGGCAGCATGAGCGGTGCTTGCAGCTGGTGTGGCGCAAGGTGAGGCAAGGAGAAGGGGGGGAGCAGGTGAGGTAAATCAATGACTATTGAGTGGCAGCATGAGCGGTGCTTGCAGCTGGTGTGGCGCAAGGTGAGGCAAGGAGAAGGGGGGGAGCAGGTGAGGTAAATCAATGACTATTGAGTGGCAGCATGAGCGGTGCTTGCAGCTGGTGTGGCGCAAGGTGAGGCAAGGAGAAGGGGGGGAGCAGGTGAGGTAAATCAATGACTATTGAGTGGCAGCATGAGCGGTGCTTGCAGCTGGTGTGGCGCAAGGTGAGGCAAGGAGAAGGGGGGGAGCAGGTGAGGTAAATCAATGACTATTGAGTGGCAGCATGAGCGGTGCTTGCAGCTGGTGTGGCGCAAGGTGAGGCAAGGAGAAGGGGGGGAGCAGGTGAGGTAAATCAATGACTATTGAGTGGCAGCATGAGCGGTGCTTGCAGCTGGTGTGGCGCAAGGTGAGGCAAGGAGAAGGGGGGGAGCAGGTGAGGTAAATCAATGACTATTGAGTGGCAGCATGAGCGGTGCTTGCAGCTGGTGTGGCGCAAGGTGAGGCAAGGAGAAGGGGGGGAGCAGGTGAGGTAAATCAATGACTATTGAGTGGCAGCATGAGCGGTGCTTGCAGCTGGTGTGGCGCAAGGTGAGGCAAGGAGAAGGGGGGGAGCAGGTGAGGTAAATCAATGACTATTGAGTGGCAGCATGAGCGGTGCTTGCAGCTGGTGTGGCGCAAGGTGAGGCAAGGAGAAGGGGGGGAGCAGGTGAGGTAAATCAATGACTATTGAGTGGCAGCATGAGCGGTGCTTGCAGCTGGTGTGGCGCAAGGTGAGGCAAGGAGAAGGGGGGGAGCAGGTGAGGTAAATCAATGACTATTGAGTGGCAGCATGAGCGGTGCTTGCAGCTGGTGTGGCGCAAGGTGAGGCAAGGAGAAGGGGGGGAGCAGGTGAGGTAAATCAATGACTATTGAGTGGCAGCATGAGCGGTGCTTGCAGCTGGTGTGGCGCAAGGTGAGGCAAGGAGAAGGGGGGGAGCAGGTGAGGTAAATCAATGACTATTGAGTGGCAGCATGAGCGGTGCTTGCAGCTGGTGTGGCGCAAGGTGAGGCAAGGAGAAGGGGGGGAGCAGGTGAGGTAAATCAATGACTATTGAGTGGCAGCATGAGCGGTGCTTGCAGCTGGTGTGGCGCAAGGTGAGGCAAGGAGAAGGGGGGGAGCAGGTGAGGTAAATCAATGACTATTGAGTGGCAGCATGAGCGGTGCTTGCAGCTGGTGTGGCGCAAGGTGAGGCAAGGAGAAGGGGGGGAGCAGGTGAGGTAAATCAATGACTATTGAGTGGCAGCATGAGCGGTGCTTGCAGCTGGTGTGGCGCAAGGTGAGGCAAGGAGAAGGGGGGGAGCAGGTGAGGTAAATCAATGACTATTGAGTGGCAGCATGAGCGGTGCTTGCAGCTGGTGTGGCGCAAGGTGAGGCAAGGAGAAGGGGGGGAGCAGGTGAGGTAAATCAATGACTATTGAGTGGCAGCATGAGCGGTGCTTGCAGCTGGTGTGGCGCAAGGTGAGGCAAGGAGAAGGGGGGGAGCAGGTGAGGTAAATCAATGACTATTGAGTGGCAGCATGAGCGGTGCTTGCAGCTGGTGTGGCGCAAGGTGAGGCAAGGAGAAGGGGGGGAGCAGGTGAGGTAAATCAATGACTATTGAGTGGCAGCATGAGCGGTGCTTGCAGCTGGTGTGGCGCAAGGTGAGGCAAGGAGAAGGGGGGGAGCAGGTGAGGTAAATCAATGACTATTGAGTGGCAGCATGAGCGGTGCTTGCAGCTGGTGTGGCGCAAGGTGAGGCAAGGAGAAGGGGGGGAGCAGGTGAGGTAAATCAATGACTATTGAGTGGCAGCATGAGCGGTGCTTGCAGCTGGTGTGGCGCAAGGTGAGGCAAGGAGAAGGGGGGGAGCAGGTGAGGTAAATCAATGACTATTGAGTGGCAGCATGAGCGGTGCTTGCAGCTGGTGTGGCGCAAGGTGAGGCAAGGAGAAGGGGGGGAGCAGGTGAGGTAAATCAATGACTATTGAGTGGCAGCATGAGCGGTGCTTGCAGCTGGTGTGGCGCAAGGTGAGGCAAGGAGAAGGGGGGGAGCAGGTGAGGTAAATCAATGACTATTGAGTGGCAGCATGAGCGGTGCTTGCAGCTGGTGTGGCGCAAGGTGAGGCAAGGAGAAGGGGGGGAGCAGGTGAGGTAAATCAATGACTATTGAGTGGCAGCATGAGCGGTGCTTGCAGCTGGTGTGGCGCAAGGTGAGGCAAGGAGAAGGGGGGGAGCAGGTGAGGTAAATCAATGACTATTGAGTGGCAGCATGAGCGGTGCTTGCAGCTGGTGTGGCGCAAGGTGAGGCAAGGAGAAGGGGGGGAGCAGGTGAGGTAAATCAATGACTATTGAGTGGCAGCATGAGCGGTGCTTGCAGCTGGTGTGGCGCAAGGTGAGGCAAGGAGAAGGGGGGGAGCAGGTGAGGTAAATCAATGACTATTGAGTGGCAGCATGAGCGGTGCTTGCAGCTGGTGTGGCGCAAGGTGAGGCAAGGAGAAGGGGGGGAGCAGGTGAGGTAAATCAATGACTATTGAGTGGCAGCATGAGCGGTGCTTGCAGCTGGTGTGGCGCAAGGTGAGGCAAGGAGAAGGGGGGGAGCAGGTGAGGTAAATCAATGACTATTGAGTGGCAGCATGAGCGGTGCTTGCAGCTGGTGTGGCGCAAGGTGAGGCAAGGAGAAGGGGGGGAGCAGGTGAGGTAAATCAATGACTATTGAGTGGCAGCATGAGCGGTGCTTGCAGCTGGTGTGGCGCAAGGTGAGGCAAGGAGAAGGGGGGGAGCAGGTGAGGTAAATCAATGACTATTGAGTGGCAGCATGAGCGGTGCTTGCAGCTGGTGTGGCGCAAGGTGAGGCAAGGAGAAGGGGGGGAGCAGGTGAGGTAAATCAATGACTATTGAGTGGCAGCATGAGCGGTGCTTGCAGCTGGTGTGGCGCAAGGTGAGGCAAGGAGAAGGGGGGGAGCAGGTGAGGTAAATCAATGACTATTGAGTGGCAGCATGAGCGGTGCTTGCAGCTGGTGTGGCGCAAGGTGAGGCAAGGAGAAGGGGGGGAGCAGGTGAGGTAAATCAATGACTATTGAGTGGCAG